AAAAAAAAAAAAAAAAAAAAAAGGAAAAAAAATTTACAGCAACCCTAAAATGTAGAACTCCCCAATTTGAAACTGAATATATATAATGAAGACTGTAAAAACAGAAGAAAAAGAAGACTAATTGTGTCTTGTATTTGAGCTACGTAGGGTGACACCATGTAAAAACTTTGTATACCCAAGAAAACTAAGCTTTCCATCTCCGCGAATCCACTCTTTAAGAATGGAGTATGCTGAAGAACCAAGGTTTAATTCCTGCATTTACACACACAATATTGTAACAACCATTTGACTTGAGAAAGCATGTTCACATCAGATTTATGTATGCATGATTTTAAAAGAGCAGAGCATTGAACGAACCCTTGCTAATTCTTCAACCGATATCACCCGGTTGCCCTCGCGCTCGAAATGCTCAAAGGCCACACAGGCTATCTGCTCCCACCGGTCAAGAGCTTCCAATTGATGCGTACTGATAGCAGCAGCACAGAACTCCTCAAAGTCTATTCTTCTGAGGGCAAGGGGCTCCAGCTGAAACAAAGCATCTTTTTCAACCATCAACAATCAAGCATCTTATTCCATTGTTAGCCCTTATCAATCCTTTAGTTTTGCCTAAAATTCTGTGGTGGTCCTGTTTGATCTTTTGTAATGGACTTGGATAGGTTACATGCAACTAATCTCAAAACTACCAGCAGACCCAAAAATACAAGCCATAACTACATTTATCTATCTAGCACGAAAAAAAGTATCAGGTGTAAAGAAGCATACCAAATTTACGATTTCCTGAACCCTCGACTCTCTCATAGCATCCGTTGCATTCCGCATTAGAGCCTAGAGCATAGGTATTTACGAGTCAAAACATATAGGGAAGGAGGAGCAACAAATGTATGGTCCTGCACTATAAAAACTAGAGCAGGGTCAAGAGAAACACACTAACCACTTTGAAGTTATCAAGCCCAACACGCCCATCTTGATTCGGTTCCAACAACGCAAACTGAGCTCTAAGATAAAAGAGTTCGTTTTCTGTCAAAGCTTTCGAGAGAGCCTGAGATGGAAGGATTTCATGATAGGAGGATTTTAAAACAATAGTTCCACATAGAAACATCTACGTAATTGTTAAAAAGAATCACTTTGAACTTATTAAATTACAGAAAACAAATCTTTCCAAACCCATACAACAAGAGCGACTACAGAGGGCAAGCCAGACAGAAGCTTCATTAAGAAAATAAGATACGATTGCGTAGGCCTTAGCTTATACAACGGATATCTTTTCTAATTTCAGCAACCAACAACTAAAAAACCAAAAGAGGAGAATTTTTTAACCTTCATAGCGGCACGTCTGAAAGGAGTAGCATGAAGGTATAACTTGACCAACTTATAGATCAATATATCTAAAGGTAAACGACGACTGTCATCCCGCAACCATGGGTGAGCTGCAAAGAGAAAAAGTCTGTTCAAGATTTCCAGAGCTTGGTATAGAAGTTCTAGATGTCATAATTCAAACGTGAAAAATATATATTTTAGTCTCTAATGTTTTAGTATTCTTTTCAATTAGTCCCTTATATTTTAATATTTTTTCATTATTTAAACTTACATAGTAGAGTTGGCAGAAATTTAGAAGAATTAAACCACCTGAAAGAAAAAAAGTGAAAAGTTCTGCCAACTTATAAATTTAAAGAAGAATTTAGAAACCTTCTCTTAGAGGTCTACCTAAATTCGCCTCTAAATCCTGTCAAGTCACGGAGTCGGGTCATTTACTGTCTCTTTTTTTTTTTTTTTTTTTTTTTA